ACCAACTCTGCATCATCCTTCTGGTTTGGCACCGTGGGGGAAGTCGAAGCGCGTAACGATGCTGAATACTGAGCCTGGAGCAACTCATGAGCACGATTTAGATCATTGAACTTCTTGACCATGTCATCCGTTGGGTAGAGGGCGTGAAAGTTGCGTGGTGTTGCTGAAGAAACTGAAGTACCAAGTTGGCCGAATGGTCATGAACCTTGATCCGCTGATTGAAGTCGTCCAGGCTGAGCCCCAGTGAGTTGGCAAGGTCCTTTTCCAAGGTAAGCAGTTTGATCGTAAGGCCTCGGTGCGAGTGCGAAAGCCTTCCCACGTCACGAATCTGCCGTGAGCAAACGGTCGGAGCAGCCAGTTGGTGATGCCCCCGTGAATGACCTGAACCAGGCGAACGTCACGAATGTCCATGCCGGACATGTCACGTAGGTTGTTGCGCGGGGTGTTGGCGACCGTCATGGGCAGGCTGAAGTCGTAGAGCTGGTTGATATCTAGCATGCCATCTCCAGGTGTCCAGTCAACCGATGGTGTAAGCCAGGATTTCTGAGGTCGAACTGGCAGGGCTGCAGGGTATCCAGGTGATGGTGTAGCTTGCGAGGGAGTGACCGGTGGTGGCATCACGGGCGTCATGAACTTCGCTGGCGTGGGCTCTGGAGGAACCGGCATCATGTAGTTGACCGGTGAATGATGGAACTGCTGCGTGGGGTTTTGAATAGATTGATAATTGCTCGGCATTACCGGGAAATTGTTGCCGGAGTTGTAGCCGGAATTGTGTTGCCAGGATACCAGGTTGTTCCAATCCATGCCCTGCGAGACCTGGTTGTCATTGTGTTCACGTCGGCGTGCTTTACGAGCTTGAGGGGAGGACTCCGATCACGTCTGCGCCGAGTCCTGGATCTGTCACGATCATCACGTCGAGACATGGTGGCGCAACCAACTCACAACCGCAACACCTCAATCTTGAGAGAAACGAATCCGACAAAATGCAAGTCAATGCAAGTTCAAGTCAGCAGCCATCAGCAGCACTGGTGAGACGTCTCTATGATCTGACGGCTGTCTTCCCTTTAGTGAAACCTCGTTCCTGGTTAAATGTGAAATTCCGCTGTTCTATGATAAGTACGTTGAGGTCAAATTTTCCGACAAAGCCGGCCCGGGGTCACACAATGGGTACACCCGAGGATTCCCCATGAATGGGGTGTACACACTTAAACTCCAGATGGAGGGTGCTAATCTTTCGAGTACAACTGATGAGTCTCGAGTACAACTGATGAGTCTCGACTGGGTTCTGCTCGCGATGCACTCGGCTTCCCTCTAGCAGCGAACACGTTACCCGAAAGAACAAGAAGCACAAACAGCGCCGCAACCAAGGGGCCAAAAGGACTTTCAGAATCACTGAAGCAGGTACAAGATTCTGCGTCCAGCATCTCCTCCACCCGATTTCCGTAGCTTCGTTGGCACGGCTTGGAAATCAGGCGCCGTGCCCCCTGCTACTAATAGTGGTGACAGGGTATTCTGTCACTCCGCACACACACCCACATATACACATACATTGGGTTATGTGCCAAAATGGCCGGGGGGTGGAACTCCTTCGGTTTTTCTGACCTGGACAAAAGCGCCTGAACAGAGACACCTTGCAAAAAAAACCCGTTGCCCGCATACAAGACACGCACCATCGCCGCCAAGGGGCTCTCCAGGAGCTTCGGGTTCTCCTCGCTGCCGAAGGTGGTGCGCCGGATGACGTCCGCGATGACGGTGTCCTCCTTCATGACCCCGAAGTGCATCTGATACGCCAGCCTTGAAAAAGCGGCCTCCGAGGGTCGCTGGAATGGGCCCGAAAGCACCCGCACCTGCAGGGTAGAGGAACTTGGGGCCTGCGAAGCAGTTCAATCTCGAAAGAGAATGCGCTCAAGGACGCCCTTTCCCTCAAGAAAAGTTCCCAGTCTGAATAAGCAAGCAGGTGTATTGGGGCTCTGGTGCCCCAAAGCACGCAATTGCAGTCAGAGCTTGGTTCCTAGGTCCTCCCCTCGCCTCCGCTGAATCGTACAATCTCTCCACGGCAGCTTCCCATGTGAGAATGTGCCTCTGTTCTGGTGGCAACGGAGTGGGATCGCCTGCATCGACCATCGAAAACAAGGTAACTTGAACTCGAGTTGGAAAGAACCAGCAAAACCTGCAGCCTGTTTGAGTCTTGAAAGTACGCCCCGACAGCCAAAACCAGGGACCCCCTTTGGGGAAGCTCACAGCTGAGGCTTCACCGAGCTCCAAGGCTGCCATGGCGCCTGCGGCCAGAGCTGCCTTCACAGCTGCTGCGAAGCTAGCGGCATCCCCAATCTCGAAGAAATGGCAGCGGTCCTGAACCACTCACGCGGTGCTTTCGGCCCCGTGGTGACAACCCGAGTCACGGCTCCCTTTAAGCGAGTCTTTACTGTGGCGGCCCAACCTCCATTCCAAGAACCAATACCCTCCCGAGTAAGTAGGTGTTTGGTTCATTGTCCCTGGCACAGGAAACTGCTCGTCCCGGATTTGGGGGAGGCATCAACCCTCGATCATAGCAAAGAAGAAGAAGAAGAAGAAGAAGAAGGGCGTCGATCGCCCAGGCTGGTGGCCCAGCCTCGAACTGCTCGAAGAAGTTGTTGGACACGTGCCGCGCCAGGACAATGTGCTTGCCCATGGCCAGCGCCTCCACCGACACGGTGCACAGGACATCGCTGGTGGAGGGATTGATCAGCACCCCATAGCCGTGGATCGACTCATCCGCGTGGTCGATGCCCGGGTGCATGCGGAGGCTGGCCCCGTTCTCGTCCAAAGCCTCCGCCTCGTGAATGATCTTCTCGGAATCAGGACCTGCAGAAGCAGAAACATCACAGCGCAAAAGCCAGCCGCCATGCCAAAGAGTCACAAGCGGCCGTCAGCGCTGGATATCAAGGCCTGTTGCATTGCCACCCTGCCTGATCCAAAGCCATCCACCACCAGCTCGGAGAGGTCCGAGCCAGCAGTGATCAGCAAATCCAGCAGCTCTCTCCAGCCCTTCGGGAACAGCGCCTCCGCATGCAGAACTAGCAAGGGCGGCATTTCTTGCCAGGACATCCTGCCTTGCCCAAGTAGTAGGCCTTCGCCGCGTCGGGCTTTTGAGTATGTCTCCTGTGACTCGACCACTTGGCTCACCGCACCCGCCACACGCAAACGCATGCACGTCATGCGCAACTCGAGTCCTGTCACCAATAGCAAGGAACTCCGAGCGCACGCCGTGGACGTTGCAAGTCACCTCATTCGGCAGAGGCATGATGGTATCTGACAGCTTCACGTTCACGTCGCAATAGGCGCTGCAGACCACGGTGGAGGCTGCAAAGACAGAGGCTTCCTGGCGGATGGCGGCAACGGGCACGAGCTGACGACAGGGTTTGGCTCCAAGCCAGGGAGTGTTGGGCCACATACAGCTGGTGGTTCAACTCAAATGGCTGCCTTTGATCTAGATTAGCTGAGGTTTCCTAACCTCACCTTGAACTCTGGGGGCAGGTTCCCAGCGATCCACTCCCCCTCTGCATTGTTGATGTTGAGGTAATCGGAGTAGTTGGTGTGAACCACGCCAATGACGTGCTGGAACAGGTTCGGCCACCTGACCAAGAAGCGGATCGCTCGGGCCCACCGCACGTTTTGCTGGCCCAAAAAAGAGAAGGACAAGACTCCGCAGCCACAGCCTCTGGCCGGAGTGGAACCAGCAGAGGTGCTCAGGCTCCTCCAGGATCAGCACATCCTTGGGATCTCCCTCCCGCAAGTTTCCGGTGCAGTCCCCCGTGGGGAAGATGCTGCCCAGAGCTTTGGTGTACCTGCGCCACAGCACACGGGAGTGTCCCAAAGTGAGGGGCCCCGATTTGCTGGGGTTAGAAGGGCCTCGTTCTGGTAAGCCAACCATTTCAAGGCTAGCCTATTTCTAGGAAACGACCAGATCCTGATCATGATTGTCTAAATCCCTGCAGCACGGTCCCAGACCATGGCCCATGGCTTGCCTGGCTGGGTACCACCGGAACTGGAGGTCCATTTTCTTCAGGTCCATCTTGGCCCGCTCCGAGCACCACTCGCGCACCACCTCCTCCTGTTGCTCTGGGGTGTCGAAGGTGACGCCTTTGGCAAAGACGTTGGGCTGATCCGGCTTCTCCAAGAATGGGAGGTAGAGGATCACTGGCTTCCCAGCCTTCGCCAAATACAAGGCCCTCAGCAGCGGGTTCACTGCTGTGCCGGTTCTCCAGGGCAGGGCCGCTGTGGTGATGATCGTGATATGGCGATCCAGTCTGAGGTTTGAGGCCAAAGTACAAACAGGCACCGGACCTAATGAAAACAATGGCGACTCGGCCTCCGCATCTAGCAGAGACCCGCCCAACTGCTGCACTATCCGTGCTGACTTGCTGTTGATGATGGTGGGCCTCTCCTGCTTCCGAGCCTGGGACTGCCTCACAATGGCATCCCGGCGCTTCGTCGCCTCGCGCAGCTGGGAGTAGGCGTTCAGCGATAGGATGGATCCGATGAAGCCGCTGATCAGCGAGATCAGCTGCTGAAAGGTCCACACCGGCCAGGGCTCGTCATCGGCCTTCTCGACTTTTGTGATGTTCGCGCCGTCCACGTCGCCCCCTGCACGCACAGCCGTGCGTCGGAGTGCCGGCCGAAGTGGCCGCGGCGGCGCGGCCAGTGCAGCCAGGGGAGCGGCCCTCACCGCTGGCGACGCGGCGACACCGAAGCCCATGGCTCGGGAACGCACCGCGCTACACTCACTGAGTGAACCTGTCAGCCGCTGTCAGCCTGTTGGCTTTGTCGATTTCCTGCCCCAGGCTTCTTTGCTTTGCCAACAGTTGGCCCAATGCCACTTCACGATTTGTCACTATCGGTGCATCTTGCGCTCTGCTCAGCCAAGCCCATGCGGATTTCGGCATCAAGCTTGCAATGCAAGGTATGCTGTTGAAAGCTGGTCAGCGCATGCCCACAAAGGCATTTTGATGCCAAGAGACCTGTCAGGCTGCTCCACCGGATACAACGTGCGCCGGAACTCCTGAGAGCAATTCTGGTGGCCCTTAGCATCTCCCCCCATGCACCCTTCCCCCACCCGCGCAGCGCTTCAGTCAGAATTCCTTGCCCAGATTGTCACGGTCATAGAAGTCGAAGAAGTTCAGAACCTCTTCTTTGGCTTCCTCCTGTTGGTTCAGACGACAGGCCCAAGAAAATGGTTGTAAAGCAGGGAGGGTGCCCTACCAAAGCGACTTCACGCGCTCAAAATCCGCATGTGTCATATGCTTGCCCATCCACCCCCGGATTCCGCTACAACGCCCATCGATGCACTGCACTGAACCGTCAAAAAAGACACCAAACTCTGAACAGCGAATCCTCCGAACGTTGTCCGCTCCGCAAGCTGCTGATTATGTTTGATTCGTGGAAATGTGTCTGTGCGTGTACGCAAATTTTGTGGTTTGGCGCTACCGTGAAACCGTTTCTTCTTTTCGTTTCGACAAGTCGCTTCCTTCCGAAAATGCACACAAATATGCAACGAAAGTTTCCGCGGCACGGCAACTAATTGAAAGCTAGCTCTCTAAGATGACAAAATTAGAATACGCACGCGCGAAACCAATGCGCGCGCGGGTGTAGCGGGGGAACAGAGCTGCTGAAAAGAACTAAAAAGTGCAACTCTCTCTGGGGTGCTTTGGGATGCTCGAAAGTTAGCCTGATCGCGACGCCTGGAGCGATCTCGGACCACATTCGGACCACGCTCGACGCCTTGGGCATGGACGCGCTCAATCTTCGCAGCATTAGGTTGCGTGGCAGGCGCAGCACTTCCGCAAGTTCAGGCGCGGATTTCGTGGGATAGACAAATACGCAATTTGATAGAGAGATAGACAGACAGACAGACAGACAGACAGACAGACAGACAGACAGACAGACAGACAGACAGACAGACAGACAAATAGATAGATAGACAAATAGATAGATAGATAGATAGATAGATAGATAGATAAATAGATACTTTACATAGATACTGTAGATAGAAGGTAGTTTGCCAGATAGTGAGATCGATCGATAGATAGATAGATAGATAGGTTGAGACATCGATACGCAAAATAGCTAGGAAGGCAGATAGATAGGTAGAAAGAATAAATTATGGAAGAAAATCAAAGGACAGAAAGAAAGAAAGAAAGAAAGAAAGAAAGAAAGAAAGAAAGAAAGAAAAGAAAGAAAAGAAAGAAAGCAAGAAAGAAAGAAAGAAAGAAGAAACAAAAAAAGAAGAAAAAAAGAAAGAATGACAGGATGAATTACAATGAATGAATGAATGAATGAATGAATGAATGAATGAATGCATGAATGAATGAATGAATGAATGAATGAATGAATGAATGGATGGATGGATGGATGGATGGATGGATTGAATGAATGAATGAATGAATGAATGAATGAATGGGCCGGCTCTACTGGTACGTTTTGCAAAGCATGAATCCTGTCATGCGGTCATACCTGTCCTTGCAGTAGCAATCCATACCAAAGAGGTAGGGCCCGTCGGAAGAGGCGCGCTTCCTCATCCACTCCACCATGTCGTAGAACTGCCGGTTCTTCCACATCCAATCCTTGCCATGGTAAGAGGACCAAGGGAAAGCTGTCAGAACAAAGCTGCCTAAAGCCGATGGCCGGAGTCGACCCGCAGAACGAAACGGACAAAATGGCGCTGGTTCGGCAGGCCACTGGAAACCGGGTGGCGTCGGGAAACATCTTGCTCTTCTTCCTTAGCTCCGCCCTATCCGCCAAGACCAGATCTGTTGCCAAGCTGCCGGTGCACGTACTGATTCACGTGCCACATGAAGGTCCAGTCGCTCTCGCACAAGATGACATTGAAACCTCTTGCTTGCATCAAATATTGGCTAATCCTTGGTTGATTTGGCTGCCGTGATTCGACCCTTTTGTTTCGCAACGGGCATTTCTATCAAGCGGCTCAGCACGGAGCTGGTAAAACTCCTCCGTGCCATGCGTGCATTCCCCGAGCAGCACCGTGTTGGCCGTTTCCGGGATCTCATTCCTCAGGCCAAGGCCATTGCGGGCATGGAATGCACCGCATGCTTCATAGCTACGGCGTCGTCCCTGCCAGGTGCGGCACCAGTGTCTTCGCCAGGTCTGCGCCGTCTTCAAAGCAGGACGGAGTTCCGCCCTCTACTGCTGGCATCTTGCCGTCCTGGCTGGGCCAGCCAAGAACCCCTCCCATCCTTCCCCAATCCGAACCCAGCGGCTCCTTCCGGAAGTAAACGGAACCATGAGGCCAAGAGCTGTGAGCCAATACGGCACAAATCCAGGCCAAAACGATGCAGAACGCAAAGCAAATTGAAAGAACTCCGATCACGCTGAGCGCAAGCCCCAACCAAGCCCGTGGCGTTTCCACGTTGAAGTAGCCTGACCCCCCTCCCCGACGGCATGCTCCACTCATTGGCAGATGCTTTGTGCACGTTAGTCAGGCGAAGCTTGCTGCTCATTGTGTAAGCCGGCGGCACGGACGGCTCTGGTAGCAAACTGGGGATCAAGTCACATGGCCTGAGATCCAACCGAGCTCGAGCCCTAAGCTGATTGCCCAGCGTGCTCAGGGCCCGGCTCCGTGATCTCCAGAGTCTCCCTCGGGATGTCCAGCCTGCGGACAGTGCACGGCACTTCCTCGCTCGCCACGCACCCGGTCAGCCCGAGGGCCCTGCACGAAGTTGGAGCTGGGCACCTGCTGCCGGTAAGCAGCAGCTCGGAGGAGAAAGGCAACGCCTGGCACATGGTTCAGCGGGCGACAGAGGGTTGGGAAAGCATGAGGCTAAGAGCAAAAGGTGGCTCAACCAATTCCCAGGCGAACAAGCTCATGAATGATGCCACAACCCGTGACGATTTATCAGCGTCAATAGCAGGCAGCGGCGCCAAAGGTTATGGAAGTAACGCTCGTCATGGTTTTGACCTGCAAAATCCACACTGTGGCGTCTTCCAAAGCCGCGGCCAATCCATTTAGAACCACCTGCAAGCCAGCCGCTGCCCAGATTTGGGGTTGACAAAAACAGGGTCGTCCCCTTTGCGGCCTTTCCAGTGGAACTCACTGCGCAAAGCGGACCGAGACCATCTGGTTGGCAAATGCCGAATGTGGCGGAATGTGGCTGGGCGCCCCACTGGTCAAACTACGGCAGAACTGAGCCCAGGCGCATTGAGCCAGGAGCTCAATGCGCGGTTTGAGATCCAGCGCCAGGCGCCCTGAAACCCAAGGCACAACCCCATCCGGTGAAGCCTGTCAATATCTGGCAATCATTTTCTATGGCGAGTCCGGGCAGTCGCCTGCCACCTGCTTGATCAAAATGCGGCCTACGTGAACCCAATTCATTTGTACCAGATTCTGTCACAACCACATTGCCCCGCAGCCCGGACTGTGGAACTGCTGTTTCGGTAGAGTCTGACCGCCGTCCGCAGCGCCCGAGGTCGATTTTTCCCGAAGTTCCTGCAAAACGCCGCGCTTCTTGGAGGTCGCGGCCGCCTACGGAATCCAAAGACTCCGCAGGCCTTGCGCTATTCAAGCGGTGACACTGGCACCTGGCCCGGCAGCTCCGGCAGCTGAGTGGATCTTTGGTGCCAAACTCGGCCCTGAGGCCATGGAAGATCCCCCATACTGGCCGCAGAGTGCCCTAGAGACACTAGTTTATCTTCAACGGAAATGCACAAATTCTGCGTGAATCGCCGTGAACCGCGCAAAGAACGGAAGACACGTTGCTCAAAAGAGTTTGAGGGATGCATACATGCCAGCAGTTCACGACACCTGTTTGATATAGCGAACCCAGCCTCCATTGAGACCGGGTCACTGCAAAAATTTGGCAGGGAGATATGCTCATGACAGATCTGAATTGCGTCTCCCGGTCATCCCTCCAACGGAGTCAAGGGTCGGCTCTGTCTTGCCGATACAGTCAGGAATTTATGAGCGCGATCCTTAGGCACGGCGGATTGGGATGCCGCGTACAGGTCTAGCATGGCATCTCTGGCAACTTGCTGCACAGCCGCGGCCAAATCCATCATCTTCCGCGCCTCAGAGAGGAGCGATAAAACGCAAGCTTCCAATGGCCCCATTTTTCAGCAAAGTCGCGTCAAGGCCTCTGTCTGACACCAAGCCACCTGTTGCAGTTGCACGGCTCACTCAGCCGCGTATGGGGCGCTGGGCAGCTGCGCCTTCTTGACTGACCCGCTCGATCTGGCCAATGTAGAGAATGCCGAACATGAACAGGAACCTGAGCTGCCCAATGCCCTTTGGCACTGGACACGCGGAAGCCGCTTCTTACGAAGTTCTGCTGGCAACGACTGCCAGTCCGTCCAAGCTGCTGGTATGTCCCGCCACCCATCTCTGCAGCGCAGTCAGCGAACTTGGCCTCGCGCCACATCAAGCCCAGGGGGGGTTGAGAAAGGCGGGCCCAGGGCTGGCACTTTTTCACTAGCCTGCTTTAGGCATGTGCTCTCTGTAGGTATCATCCGCAGGCCCCCAATGCTTGCGAAGCAGGCAAGTCGCAACAGCAAGCTTAAACAGGCAGCAAGGCAGGCAGCTGCAGGTGGCAAACCAGTCCAGCCGGAGTCAAAACCCTGCTGCGCTCCAAACAGGTGCCAAATGCACCCACCCACTCCCTCGCCCCTCCAGGTACAAGCCTTTAGCAAGGCCTCTTCGAGGCCAGCTTTCGGAACAAGCCGCCTTCAGCCCTCCCTGTCCAACTCTCCGCTATGCTGCCAGGTGACGCTTTTCAGGCACATGAGACAACAGGTGCCGGTGGTGGTCAGTTGCCCACCTGGGACGCGAGTTCTTCGCGTTTTGTTTGCTCCTGTGATGTCACATCAAAACATCCCATCCACCGGCGAGACCCTGTCTTCACATGGAGGAGGCGATTTTGTTTTTGGCTGCTTGACCCTGCGCCTACCCCAAACCAACCCCAGAACAAAAAAGCAACCCCACAAGCACCCGCTGCAAAGCAACCCTAAATCCACTCCACTCAAAACCGAACTTAAAACAAAACCAAACCTGATTCAAACCTAGCTCCAAACCAACCCTACCCCACGCTAAGCCCTGCTGCAAAGAAAAAGCCTACCCAACCCGCCCTCCAGAACGCCAAGCCAGGGCCGCGCTGCAAGAAAAACATAGCCGTTTGGCCCTCAAGTTGGTACCCAAATTCTCCCGAGAACGCTTCAGCTCTGGGCATTGGTCGTCAGCCCGGAAAACACATCTGATGTCATGCTCATCTGTCGGAAAAGTGGCTGCCCAGCTCACTACACTACACTACACAGCGATGCAATGCACTGCTCCTCATTGCATTGCGCCGCCTTGCAAGCACGCATACATAGACCTACTTATCTACCTGCCTACCCACCCGCCTACCTGCATACATACATAGATGCTGTCAGTTCTTTGCATGTGTTTGCCAAACAAACCTGCAGCTTTAAGAGCTCAATAAGGCTTAATAGCTCTGGCGTGAGCTTGAGCAGCTTCTGATGATTGCAGGAGTAGTTTACTCAATTGCTTTTCATAAGCATCATGCCTTGCCCATGACGGCTCAGAGCTCAATGCGCTCGGTTGCACGCGAGCTTGAGCGCTAAGTACTCAAGAGGCAGTACCTCAGTGAGCTGCCGGGAAAACTCTTGCCGTTGGTGTGCCGCCGGAGATGATGCGGTCTTTTCTCGAGGGCTAAGATAGTGGCTGTGGAAGAACTCGCGCATGTGACGGAACCAAAAGGAGCTAGAAGGCCGCGGTCCAAAACAAGTGATGACTGTCAAGACCAATCTCCAATGGCCGACCTTGAGTGACGAGAGGGGCGATGTGAAGGACGAGCATTTCGAGGACAACTGCGGCCCTTCCATAGGACGTTCACAAACTTGCACAAGGCGGCCTACCGCACAGGCGAGATCTAAGAGAACGCTTTCTCAGAAAGCACCGACGAGAAGGAGATTATTCAAGTGGATACCGAACTTGCGGCAATATGACAGGGCGTCAGTTCGAACCGTTCTTTCAAGTGAGTGTTGCTGAGCTGGAAGCTGTGGGTCTTAGCAAGGCTCCGTCAGAGCTGTACCTGCCGTAGTATCGACGCACTTCCCCAGCTGCAAAAAGAGTCGAACATGCCCGAAACAGCAGGCTTTGGCAGCACAAGAAAGCTCGAGCGGGACATGATATGACATGACACTACACTAACTACACTACATACATACTGCACGCCTACAGCACGCCACCCCTGTCGCCAGCATACGGTATCGCAAGCCAAGCAGCGGTGATGCCATTGCGCCCAAAGCCTCAAATCGTGATGGGCGCCAGAAAACTGCCCATATGTTTGGCGCGCACTGCCGCATGCGCAATCGCCACAACTGTGTCAGCAACAGCAAGGCCCAGGACTCAAGACCTTCACCCCTTGCACAGTGAACCAACGGCCCAGAAAGACGCAGATCGAATGCCGCCGGCTGGCACTGGCTCGCACAGCCAGGAGCCAGGCTCCACCAGAACGGGTATTCCGCTCCTGCACACGTGTCCGTGCGGACCAACACCCCTCAGCTGTCGTTAGGAAAAGCATGGTGAACCCTCCAACTTCAACCATCTCCGACAAGAACCGGAGTCCTTCTCTCCCCAAATAGATGGGGTTCCATATTTAACGTAAGGTGACTCGCACTGAAATCTGCAGCCGAGTCTTTGACTGGTCTGGTCTTGGTGTGAGAAAGGGTTGCAAGTCAAAGCTCAAGAATGCCTGTGAACTTGAGCAGCGAAGTGCTCAAGTCCCAGAAAACCTCCCCAAGAAAGCTGTGCAAAGCCGCCCAGCTCTGGGCAAGGTTGACTCAGAAGCCCAGCTACGCATGGCGTTTCATCGCGTCAAACTGGCGGCACTTGGGACAAACAAAGCTAATTCAAGCCTTCGGGGTTGGGACAAAACGGATGAGAGGTCCCAACCGTCACAACGGCAACTCGCGCAGCGATGGCCCGGCCTCCGGGACCCCTGCAACTCCACCTGCAGTTTCAATAGGCTCAAAATGGCAGACAAGCAACTGTCAATTCGGCCAAGGTACGTAGTGCAGGTCCCCGCGGGACGAAAAATAGGCCTGGGCGGCGTCCTGACCTGGAAGGAAAATGTCCTGACATGGCGAACGATCGACTCCGCTTTTGACATGCTGCGCGTCCTTGCCGGGAGCTTGCACCTGCTCGTCCATGCAGGAGTGGCAAACCTGCCCAGCAGAATGCAGTTTCCAGCCCTGCCATCCGCTCAGCCGCGGGAGCCAGTTGGCCAGCAAGTGGATATGTGGCATATGCATACATAGCTTTTGAGCTACAGTGCACGTGCGTGTGCACGTGCATTGTGTGCACGTGCATTGTGTGCGCGTGCATGTGCATGCGCCGATGAGCTTCATTTGCTCCAGCTGTCTCTTGCTCAAGTTGTTGGAACCGCTTTGCACCCTGCTGGGGAAGCTGGGCTCTTGGGTGCCCACTCATGGCAAACCTATCACTCCAGGGAACTCCCAAATGGCAACCTTTCGCGTGTTCCTGTCTCAGTGGGTCTGAGTGCCTGAGCGTCAGGTCTGAATGTCGCTGCACGCGTGCGCGCGTGCGCGTTTCGAAGAGAATGCCCCGACTTGCCTTCATCAAGAAGCTACGCTCCACCTGGTCGCCGGAGATCCAGGCCGAGTTCTTGAAGGCCTCCGCGGGGTTCGTTTGGTTTCTGCGCTTTGGGGAGCCGTTTTGTGAGGCTTTGAGACCCAAGCCCGCCCTAAGTTCCCAAGGCCATGAACTGTGAGTTTGCCCAAACCCGGTTCAAAAATTGGGGGTGGGGGATCCCTGATCCTAAACGGCAACCTTTGGGAGACCGCAACAAGGCAACCCACAGTTGACAGAAGATCTTGATTTGGAGCCACAGGAGGACCAAAGCCCGCCGGCATGAAGACCTCCTCGCTGAGACGGATCTTGAGTGACCTCAGCCCGATGGGAGTCGAGACCCCAGCCATGCCAATCCACTTACAGGGCCCACCACCATTTTCCCAGATTCTCGTGGGAACCGTCACACCCACTCTCATCCCTGACAATCTTGTTCTGCCCCGGCTATCCAACTCATTTTGAAGGGCACCTAACGCGCAGAGGTTCCTGACCCGGAGCCTATCGACATGGAGTCCAAAGGAGTGCGTGGGGGTTTTGGCTAGTTTACTTAGCTAGAAAATATCTAGTTTGTTAGCAACAACTGACTTGCTTTGCACAAGGAGGGTTGGTTGCTTGGTTGCTTGTTGGTTGCTTGCAAGCTTGGTTGCTTGGTTGCTTGCTTGCTTAATTGCTTGCTCGGTTGTTTGCTTGCTTGCTTGCTTGCTTGCTTGCTTGCTTGCTTGCTTGCTTGCTTGCTTGCTTGCTTGCTTTCTTGCTTGCTTGCTTGCTTCCTTGCTTGCTTGGCCCGTTGCTTGCTTGGTTGTTTAATTCCTTAGTTGATTAGTTGCTTAGTTGGTAGTCTGACTGACATGCGGGATGGGGTATAGTACCTGCCGCGCGGGCTATGGTATCTAATGCTCGTCCAGAGTACTCTTTGAGGCCTACTTTCGCGGAAAACCCTACCCCTACCTTCTGTACTCAGGTCAAACTGGTCAAAAGGATAGTTTTGGACAAGCGAGTTGTGGAGTTCATGTCCATGCATCTTTGCCATAAACCTTACAACCTGAAGGCCAGAAAGGTGTAACAGCTCGCACCGTGGACAGGCTCACAAGTGAACAAGGCCGGCACTCGGGGCACTCCCGCAGGATCTTGACATCCGACCTTTGGTTGCAGTGTTCAGCTTCACTCACAACGCCGGCTTACAGTTGAGGATAGGAAGCTAGTAAGGCTGCGGCATACGGATGGTCGCATCTGGGGATCCTGCCCAGAAAACGTCGCTTCCGACGCCACGGCCGCCATAAATTTCAAGCGTTCCTTCTGGGGGTAAGAGGGAAAAAAGGGAAACACGCAACTTGGAGCGGTCCTTTCTTGGCGCCATGGGTGCGGACTGCCTCAAACAGCTCCGCGGACAACTTCCGCTCCTGCACCATCCCCAAAGGAATCCACTGAAATCAGCGATTTCCTTTGCTTTCCATTGTGCATTGGCCCCAAAAAATATCTATTTCGATGCAGGTCCAAACCTAGAAGCCTGAACTGTCAAATCGAATCCAATCCAACAAATGAGGGGATCGGATGCAAGGAGTAAGCCTTTGGCAAGTAGGTCCCAGGCTAGACCACTCTGATGTCTTGTTGGCTCATCATCTCTGGGGCTGCAAGTCGCACCTCGAAGAATGCGATCACGGCTGCCTCCTGCTTTATCTGCTCAGCGTGCGCCTCCGACAAAGAGCATGGCACCCCTGGAACAGCCGGTGGAGCGGGTTGAGACCAGAAAGCCGAGGCCCGCGCCGCCCGGAA